GAAACTGTTTTCTTCAACATCTTTATAATGATTTTATAAAGATCGCAAAATTCTCTACAATATGCATTGTATTAAAATTGAATCTAGATTAGTAATCATATTGAAAAGCGACTTACAATCGAAAAAATTCCGTTAAATAAAAGAGCAGGTTTTTTAGAAATCTGTTCAATATGTTTTTATTCAGATATATGTGCTCTTTGAAATGAGATATTACTTAATCATAATGGCCAAAAATTGACGGAGAGATAAATGGATCAATGAAGATAACTTTTCTTTTAGTATTTCTTGGAGTTCTACATGTTTCAACGTTTTTAACTCAATCAAATTAAATCGGAGGAGTTTAAGAATTTGTTTTTCATCATTCTAGTTTAATGTTAGGAATTAATTGATGCATAAAAAGTATACATTAACTTCGATCATAAAATGATCTTGGTGAGAAATACGTTATAGACTGGCAAACTGTCTCTTAATAATGACCTTTTTCTGTTGAATCTAAAATTTTACATGGAAATAGTATTTGTAGCAAATACTCATCAGTTTGTTCATTAGAACGTTCGTAGAAAAAAAGAAATTTTATTCCTATCTTTAGAAAGATGACATTAAGATCAAATAAAGTTTTAGGTTTCTTTTGCTTCCTAATAGTTTTAATAATTCTAGAGCAAAGAATACAAATTATAATCCGATGATTAATTTTCAAAATTGATCAGCACAAACGTTTCACCCGCTGATGATAAGAAATAATCTACGACTAGAGAAGTTTATCAAAATTAATATAATCGATTTATTTTTTTCCTTGTCATTATTATCTTTTCACAATACAAAAAAAGAAATTAATTTGGTTCATTGTAATTCATATTTTAGTTTCAATATTTATTTTTTATTAAAGAGATAAACAAATAACAATAAGATTGCATATTGAATGGATAAAAAGAAAAGTATTATACCCTATATCAATCTATATTTTTTAATATAAAGCTTTTTGAGAATATGTTGTAATTAGTAAGCACCAATACTAATTTATTGTAACACGAGAAGCACCAATAATATCAAACAAGAACCAAACGTTGTTATAAATGCAGAAAGTCGATAGAGAACGAATCGATCCTAAAATTTAATAAAAAAAATTTCTTGTAATTGTTATATCAAATATTCTTTTATAAAATCATAAATCCATTGGAAAGACGTCATTGAAAGAATTTTCATAAATCTTGAAACAGTAAATACTATAATTCTTCTTTAGACATCAAATAAGATCGTTCAAGTTGAAAACGTACATTTAATAATACTGAAAATTGAACTTTCTAATTAAGATTATTTTTGTATTTTTAGATTCGAAATTGCCTTTGTTGTAGATAAATACATACTTCAATGAATGGTTTTTGATTGGTATAATTGAATAAACTATACATCACTTCAACAATAATAAAGAACCATATTAACAACATGCTGCTGATGACAATAAATTCAACGATAGTTTTCTTTTGCCATCTTTTGTATGAGTTGCTTCCTGAAAATTTCCAGGTAACTATTATTCATCATCGAATATGAACTGGTATATATATTCAATTATTCCACTCACCTTTAGCATTTAAGACATTTATACAGACAAGAAAAACAAAGTGAGTAGTATATATAAGCAGAACGGCATTTATTCCGGCTGCTACCAACATAATGCAGGAACTAATAACAAGTATTATAACACAAACTATGCATTGCGATGGATAAAGAAAAGCCTAAACTTGAGAAATTATGTTCTTGATTCTCACTATACTTCATACTTACATTACTGGATGTATTATACAGATGTAAAATGCACATTCTTATCAGTTCACAAATGACGACATTAATAATAATAATGATAAAAATCCATCCCAAAAGTTCAATTATGTCACTCTATTCAGATCTTAAATAAAAGCTTCGAATAAACGAATGCTCCTAAAATACAGAGAGCAGCTATGTAACTACTATAAAGTTGAAATTTAATTTTCTTTTTCATTTTGCTGAATGGTCGAGTTTTTTCCTCAGATCTGTACTATAGACGATTCTTATGTTTACAAACCTGTTTGTCTACTTGAGTTTGTTTGTGATCTATATGAGATATTTTCTCTTGATTAGCTTTTGTTGTTCCGACATCGATCATCTGTGGAGTGGTCGGAGTGACCGTTAGCATCCTGTTCTAAGTAATTTGTGACAAGAGAAGTGACATCTGCACATGTAAAAATATATACTAGTGAATAGCTATGTCAAAAAAGACCGCTGACCATTAGACATATCGACCAATCATTTTCTCCCGACGAAGCAAAATTTAGCCGATGAAAGATTGAAAAAAAAGCATAATGCATATATATGTTGACCCCAGGCAAATAATAAACCCTAGTGGCGTGAATCACATGGTCTAGTCCAATTATCTTTTTACGATTGTTTTGTTTTACTTCGTCCGTCATTATGATATTGTAGTCGATTTTTAGTATCGATTTGTTGAAGTTTTTTAATAAGTATTTGTTCTCAATAAAACAGACGTTTTCGTCGCAACACATTGTCTGAAGAGAAGTTTGACAAAGAAATAATACAAAGACTATTTCGTTTTTTATAGCAGTTTTGAGGAATATTGAATGAAATAGATTTACTCAACGGTGCTAAAAACAATTACTTTATAAAATCCAGTTGTAGTTAATAAAATGATGAGTTGAATGAATATTTGTATTCTTAAGTTACGAAGAATTTCAATGCAACTATCATTTTACGTTCTCTAAACTATTCTAATGAAGACACTCAATGGAGAAAATCTGCAAGGTACTCACTATGAGAAATCTATATACAGGCCAACTTCTCATAGGTCTAGCCGACAGATAAAACTATCAACCACTTCAACCTATCTGTGGCAATGTGTATATTTGTTTTTGAATGCAAATGTTATAATGAAACTTGGATGCAAACAGAATAGTTCTTAATAAAAAGACGGTACGATTGAGTGTTTACATTGTTCGGTACATACTTGCAAGACACTATGCTTGAGTCTTGATATCACCAATGATATACTGACATTGGGCAATTCATGAATAGCTGTTTAACTTGGACTGTTCATCTGATAGCACACTGACTACATAGAGATATATTTCAAACCTTAAGACTAGAATGCAGTTAGTCATTGTTTATAGAATGCTCAAACAAATAAACGAAAGTGTTGTATGATATATTGGCTTTCTGTTGAAGGCTACAGCTACTACGAGTTGGAGAGATATCAGACGAAAAAAACTGCCTCCGGGCAGTACCCTGTATCGCAAGTTAATCAAAAAATGATACACTCTTTCGTTTTGATATGTACGCAAAAAAGTCATGTACAATGCAATGAGATGTTCAGACAAAACACTTGTTAATTAATATACTATGTATTTATAGCTAACAATAACATTTACAAAGTTAGCGTTTTAAAAACAAGTCGATGTTTTGGTTTCGAAGATCCTTAGTATGTTTCATGAACTAGTTAAAAAAAGGATAGCAAAGTCGTATATTTTACAACAATGTATTTATAAATGAGAGACTGATAAGAGTTAGACAACAACTTAAGCAAAATAATACTAACAAATAATTAGAATTCTTGAACAGTAGCTGGTCGAAATCGATCAATAAGTTAAATAAGTCAGAGATTAATGAACAATATAGTCATATTCTATTATTAGAAATGATTATGCCCAGCGAAAATGAAGAAATTTATTTCTCATCATCGATAGTCGAAAGTGTTCCACTTATCTTTAACAATGTCATTTTCTGTTTAAAAAGTTAACTTTCTTCTTCACTATTTAAAGAGAATTATGACTGCTAGATCTAATAGCCTGTTCGACTCTCTCGTAGTTAATTGCTCGAACATTCTGCAAGTATTCCTCAAATGAATGAAGTGTGATGGGCTTCAGTCGGAAAACGGTTGAAATTTGAGAGCAGAAACCTTGTGGTTGCGTTTTTACAGTTCTGATTGGAGCCGACCATAACCTGGCAGAGCCAGTCACAGAATTCGATTATCCGAATTGGTGTGGATGTGAGATGGCGTGACATGTAGCTGTGGCTGAATGTGTGTGGGTAAAGAGAATATCCACACCTACATCCGACTCTCTTCCTGCGTTTATTCATTTACATTGACGGCACAATCTATTCTGGATCTTAAATGATAGCTTTCAGATTTCATGCTTCACAACTGAGAGCTTTACTGTTGGGTATATGACTAAGATGATATGGACAGATGAAGGGGTTTATATAAAGAAATGAGCTCTTACAGATTGTAATAAGGGTTAGGATGTGGATGTTGGTACTCTTGTCCTATATCCCAAGCCCACACTCGTACTTGCATCTACATTATCTTCTCTTTCGAACGATGAAAATCACAACTCTCTATCTTGTTCCTATCAAAAGCTATTCGAAACATGCCAACTAAATAGGCATTAGTATAACCGTCACATATATGGAAATGACATTGTCTTGAACGTAGTAGGAAACTGATACATCGAAAACCCTTTTTCAAACAATGAAAAAAGAAAGTTGTACGTGAAACCTTCTTCGCAGGAAACTTTAAAGAATTTCAATTTGGTTGCAAAAATCGTAACTCTTTTGAGTTTCACATGATACTTTTTTTAATGTACGGAATACTACCTATGCGATAGTTATAAAGATCAGCCTCAAGTGCTGTGCAGATCAGTTTTTCTTTTGTGAAGCTGCGAAAGTCTCTTTTTCTTTTACATTCTTATGAATATGTGGAATCAAAGCAAGCTGTCTAAGCATCTTCCAATGATTTTGTTAGTTCTCAGTGTCGTCAAATAGTTAATTGAAGGAAGTGATTCAACATAGATAGTTTCTTTGTAACTGCTTGACTACTACAACCAGTGACAATTGAAAAGGAACTCGTGCATAAAGCATTCAAGTTTTTTTTTGACGCTCTAATGCATGGTTAAAATTGAAAAAATAAAGAAAAATTCTTCGTGATACTTGATCAAAAAATTGAACTCTTTATATCAGAGTATTGTACATAAGGAGGATTTGTTGTTTTTAACGGAAGTTGAAACAGTTTTTTCCATATTATTCGAAGTACTTGTTTTATTAGGAATTGAAGTACTTTTTGTAAAAGATATCGAGGTATCCGGTTTATTAGGCTTTGGAAAAATTGTTGTATGAGATTTGAGAGCACTTGTTTTATAAGTAATCCAGCTTTTTTGCTTTTTTTCACTAGCTGGTGGTGTATAGTAATCCCAAGGAACTGTTTTAGGTTTAATTAAACAATAGTAATGCCAATAGAATTTTACGCCATCACTTGAATCATTGTCAGCATCATTATTAGAGTCAATCATTTCAATTTTTGATAAGTTATCTATTGCTCGTAAAATGATTACTTCATTAAATGTTGTTACAACTTGGAAGCGAGAATGAGGAGAAAATAGCATTTTTTCTTCATACTTAAAGTGTGAAAATTGTGATATATCTCTTACTTGTGAACAGCGAGCAGAGATGCGAATCTCGAACAAAGTATTACCGAGTGTTTTTGCCACTTCCTTCTTTTTTGTTGTTGAAGTAAAACCTGGAGACCGAAATAATTTATTTTTCGTGAAAAAACTACGCTGTTCGCTATTAAGATGCATGCCATGATAGGCGACACAATCTTTCTTTGGACCATGCTTATTAATTTGGCTAGTAGTTCGACGAATAAATGGCATGAGCTTCTGCAATATCAATGCATCATCTTGCATCAGTTGTTTGTTGATATATGCGTAAAATTTGCTTGCACCAAATTGAAAATCAGAACTGTATGTTTTAGTCGTATCATAGTCGTCCGATTCGTTTTCAATTGATTCGAATACCAGATGATCGCGATCATACACGCCACATTGGCCGATTAGCGAACTAATCACATTATACTTGCTTGGACATTTCTCTACTTTATTATAACATTTTAAAAATTGACTGGTTTTGAATTCTTCCTCCGTGACACCGGGTATTGCATAGAAAAACCTGTCTTCTCTCAAAGAAGTCATGATGTCTGCAAATGAATAATTAATTGAAAAGTAAATTCTGTGTAATTCATCTTTCTTGATTAGATATTCATGAGAACTCGCTAGACAACTTTGGATCTAGAGACAAGTTCATATTTAATAACAATGAACAAAAAAAGACATTGTTGAGCAAAAGACGGATTTGAAACTTCGTGGAAATTTGGGTGTCATTCAAAACGTCTATTTGATAGATATAGCAGTTGATCAATACTTCATTTGTTCGATTAAATTTACAATCAATATTTAGACATTTTTTTAAAGGTTCAAAACCTGAAAATTCTGTATGGCCATGCCTTCCTTCAGAATGGTGACAGATTTCGTTCTTAGTTTTATCTGTTGCTTTCAAATATTGCTTAGAATATTATAAAATAAAACTGAAATTCATGTCAAAAATAAATAATTCTCCTAAGATTATGAAATAAAAAGAGCATTTAGAAATCTCGTTTTGAAGAATTTTTACGTAATCCAAATTAAACTCAACAGTCACATCCATTATTATGCTAGACACGCTTCAACTGAAGCACTTGAAAGCATTCTTTCTATATGTTTCTATTTCTCAAGTAGCCGAAGCTTCGATGAGTGTTGAGATGTAGAAACGTGTCTGAACAGTCGAAAATGAATGCCCAATAGGATACAGTTTTAGAGTATTCGGGATTCGATGGATGATGCCGAGAGGCTGAAAATATGAACAGAAGGAACAAAAAATATATATTTCAAAATTTCGTCTGCTCATCACATTCATCGTATGCTTTTCAAAATCTGTTTGGGCATGGCTCCGAAAGTCGAAATCATTGATCTGAGTATAAACTATTAACCTTTGATATATTGGGTAGATAAAAAAACTGCATGAACATATCAAATTTTAGATATCGTGAAACGCATGAAAGATACTGATGCCAATAAGCAGTATTTCGACATTATCTATCGCCAAATATGAAAGTATAACAAGATTTTTCTTGACTATGTTTGCAGCATCCTCATATTCGTCTGTATTTTTCATCGACTCAGCAGTGGATTAGAAACGCGTGATGCATGAATGTGGATGTGAGTGGGATGTAGAGAAGATTCAAATCATAACACTCACATCGACACATTTACTATGGTATAATGAATGAAGGTTTTATCGTGAATTCAATCATCTCGTTCTTAATACAAATATTAATGATATAAAATGAGTCAGTTTGAAAAAAAGTTTTTTTTGGTGCTTATATTCTGTTCCAAGAATATGGAAAAAAATTCGTTTGGAATATCTGTATTTTTCGCTCAGGAAATCAGTTTATTTCCATATTTATCGTCTTCACTCTTTTAATTATTTCTTATTTCTGTTGCTGTTTCTCTATATTTGTTATATCTTTTCATAAGCAGAATTATTGACAATAGAAAAATCATATTTGTTTATCATATTTTCCATGATCTTTCATAAGTAAGTTTAGTAATCGTTGTTCTTTCTCTCGCACAATGTGAATATTAACTGTTTTTGGTAACACAGTAAAAAAAAAACTCGAACGATGACGACAATCTACTTACATTGAAAATGAGCCTTCAACGTTTAATGCTAGCTTTCGTTTGATGAATGATCGACTGTATTTTGTATAAACTACTGAATAAAATTCCCTGGTTTTTTCCAAGCAACATTTTTTCCAAGTGTCGTTCTATATTGTGACGTTTACATTTTCTCTTTCTCTGCATTATAGATTTCATATGTTGAGCAATGGAGAGTTTCTACTATTGAATTAAATTACATGGAAGCACGAACGAAAGAAAAGAACGGTGGCTCACAAACATCACATAATTGCTTGGGAATAGTAACGCATATAAGACAAAATCTGGCCAGGGCTGCAACTAGGAGACGGTGATTGTGAATGTGGATAGAGACAAGGAGTGAAGCTCACACCCATATCCTTCAGTCATGACTATTGTTACTACTTATCTACCTTTCTCTTATTCCTTAAGTGCACTACTTCATTCTCTCTATCAATTATGTGCGAGTAGTTTTACGAACTTGAGCAACTTCTCTGAATCACTTGTTTCTCTTCGTTTGATCTGCTTTTTTTGTGTGTCGCCTCTAATATAGTTAAAGTGGATACAATGCGAAAATCGAGCAGAATTTTTTTCCGTTCGTTTAGGTATGGATGAATAGAGCTCAACAAGTTCTCCAAAACTTCACATAAGAAAAATTCTCAAGCGCCTCTTTTGGCTTTGAATATTGAGAAACGCAATTTTTTGACTCCTAAGCAAACTATTCGTAATTTTCAAGAACGTTCACGTTTTAAGCGATTTGCATTGTTTCATAAGCCCAAAAGACTTCTTTTGTAATAGAGAGTATGAGTGTGAGTGGGTTTGACCACAACCACGCCCACACACTTCAGTCAGTGTTTATGTTATGACCTACATACTATTAAAATGTAGTCATAAGGAATGTCTTTTTGTATCGGCAGGATTATAAACAATCCAATTATGTTCTTCTTATGAGTCACGCATGTTGGAATTTTCCTACTTTCACACATGGCGGAATTTTCTCTTCTTTCCTACATGTTAGAATTTTCAATTTCTTTCTATCACTCTATCTTTCATGTTGTTCTATGAAATTTTCAACTCCTTCCTTCACTTCTATATATACAGTGTTATGTTGTTACGATAAGAGATTATTCGTTCATCCTTAGATACAGTTATACAAATAAACCAGAAGTGTGGGATTAACATCTCGCCGTTTATATTTTGACACAAAAAGCTACAATTTTACGTCCAAAACATACAATAGACTAGTTTAGGTTAAAAATTGGAACCTTTTTTTGTTTTCCATTTGTCTTGAACAGAAGTTTTTAAAAGAAAAATCGAAATTTTCTTGCATATAAAAGGGTTAGTTGAATTGAGTTGAACTTGTTTTAAGTAGAAAGAAAAAATGGGAGGTAACTACGGATCATATATTGCTCTTACTTTCTCTACATCTATTGGAACAAAGCGTCCGAGAATGTTGAGTCTAGAAGAATCTTTGATGACAGTATTGTCGATAGATTCTGAACATAGGTGGAATCATATTCAAGGAACCAATCTGTTTGAATAGAATTTTTGTAATATTTTTGGACAAAAAAAAGATGCTAATGTTTATTCTTTCCCAACATTACAGGCATTCTCAGTTTTAATATGTTCGGAATGCCTAATGTCGATGCTGATATTTGTGACTTTCGAGATGATACAACTAAAGAATTGTGCACATGATGGATACAACTGGATGTATTCTACCGTTTCATGAGAAATTACAATGGTGTTCAAAAGGTACATGCTCGATCAGAATAATATCATTCATTGATGTCTTTATGAAACAATTAGGGTCAAGTTCCAGTGGTATTCTCTTGGACAGCTCAACAGATCATGAAGCAATCGTCGATAATGTGATATTCGCTGGTTCCATTCTGGTATATTCTTCTTTATCGAGCAGCAATAGCGTCAGAAATTCTGGTGCAGCCCATTTCACTTCGAGTGCGATATTAATGAATTTTCAATGTTTTTTTTCAACTATGTGATTCTATCAGATTTTCCAATGACAAAAAAACACTTGGCATTGATCGACAATTTCTCATTGGTCGTGCCATTCTCGTTTCGCCAAATGTTGTTTCAGTAAATGTCAATGCAGAGAATATACTCTGCCATTTTTGTTTTATATTCTCGAATCTTTCTAGAATACAACTATGGTGCATGCTTATATTCCAGAAGATGCTTGATATCAGTTTCCGTTGGATGCCAAAGTGAAAGTTGTTGGTATATTTGCTGATCTTGATGCTTCTTTAGAAAAGATTAATGTTCATGTCTGAGGTAGTTTTATTTTTCTTATGCAAAAATCCGGAGCTAATTTGATGGTCAGTTGCAGAAATCTGTTTTCGGATTATGTTGACTCAATTGGTGGCCATATCTTCAGTAACAAAATCAATCATACTAATTTTTTTCTTGTCTTTTATTGAGACTTGATCGTGACAAGAACGCACAATTACTTCGACTTTTTACTTATTTCAGTAAGTAGAAAGACTGAAATAGAAATTGCATATTCAACGATCATTATTAATCAGAATACATTGACTATCAATGCAATCGTAGCAAATTGCAAAGATTCATCTATGCGTTTAGAATTTGTTCGTGTTCTCGATGTTCGCAAATTGGTGACACGTATGACTGTCAATGAATAGCTGCTCTATTCAGCACTAGAGCAAAGAATTTCATAATTCTATCCAGTGATTATTTAACAAATTATTACTTGTTCACTGTAACATACAATATTATCGGAACACAACTTGAAAATACGTGTGCATCATTTTGGAAAACTCAAAATACTCTTGTGTTCATTCTTAATTAGTCAATTTGACAACTTTTGAAAATATGGATTGAAAACAGTAACAAAAGCATTTTTGGCATTTTTAATCATGGCTCAGAATACATCAGCCACTTTCGCACTAGAGTTTTCTGGATGTTCACAATTATGTAAAACATTCGAAATAGATCCATTTGATAGAAAAAAATTATTAATTACAAAATATAATATTTAGAAACTTGATATATCCTATAAAATATATATGCTTATGGAAAAGTAACGCTGCAATTCGAGATAGAGTACCCAAAAATTACAAAAGACGAGAACAGATCTACAGAGTGAAAAATTCTGAATCTTTCAATATACTATTGTTATGATTATTCATCTCATTCAATAGCTTCAAATGTCTTGAAAAGAGACAGAAAAAACATGGTACAGTTTAGGACTTTAACGCTTTTTTGAATTTTTGATATTGCACATAAGTGATACATGTTGTTTCTATATCGAAGAACACATTTCGTAGAGAATTAAATTTTCTATTAAAGGAAACTATTTGGAATATTTTGTACGACTGTTAATATCCACAAAAATCCAGCGTGAACGTAGTTCATTTATTCTGGACCATCTGTTACAGGAATATATAGAGCGAAATCAAAAGATTCTACCGAAGATTTAAGATATTATCATTCATCTAACTATTCTTCAAATAGTTTTTAACCGTGAGATTGGAATCACACATAAGTCGACAATGGTTCAGTTATACCAGTCTCCTTCTAGATTATGATGAGTCTTGATCACGACACAAATTTCTTAAAAATTTCAAATCATTCAATAAATGATAGTTCCGAACCTAAAGAAATGAAAGACTGATTGTACGATCCGTCAATGGTTAATCTAATGCGGATGAAATGGGAAAAGATTTGCACTTTTTGTTTCTCACAAGACAAAACTGTCTTGACTTTTTATTCATTGAACGATGAATCCATAGTCTAGTTTGATCACATCGTGCAGAAGTGTTCTGTCTTCTGCTAAGGGAGACAAACTATTCGATCGATGCCAATATCAAATCACTCCATGGAGTTCAGTTTGAACAGTTTCCACATGTCTTACACCATACTACTAAAATATAACTTCCAGAAATAGTCAATTCACTGATGAATACGGATCAATTATTCGACAAATTTCATTTATAATTCCTTTATATAGTTGCTCACTGTTAAGCAAAACCTACGACCTTGCCGAAGAAAGCAATAGAACTCAGCTGAGTCTTATTCTAATATAATTCTAGCATTCTATCATAATGAGATTGCCTTAGATTTAATTTATTCTAAAGTCGAACACGAGCTGTCATTTCTTGCGATTCTACTTTTAGCGACGTTTTTTTTTTGTGAAATGTCTCAAATCCTGAATAGACATTGGGTGTGTTTCTGTTTCTACGCTTGTATAACAAGCATTTTCATGTTCATGTGCAACGATTCCATCGTGTTTCACATTTCAATCCCAATGGGATTGTGCTGGAAGCTTTTTCGAATCGATAACAGCCTGTTTGAATCCAGTTGTATTACAAGTGGAAAGACACAACCGAGTCGAACTCCAACAAGGAATATCCGCTACGATTTGATATCTAATCTACACGTCGAATATGAAATTGTTTTACAAGCGATGCATGATTCTCTACGGCTGACTATGTTTGAATTCTTTGTGGTAAATGTTATGCGTTTGTAGTCTATGTAAGGACAAACATGATATATTTGCTGAGTGTTTATCTCCAGTTTTGAGTATCATTATTCTAAATAGTTGGATTAATCAACAGCAGACATTGCTTCAAATGGCATGTTCTTTTTGAGATATCAATGTACTTAATGTAAGAAAGAGGTCACTTGATCGTATCATTCTGAAAATAATTATTCTAAAGAAATTCGTTATCGTCTCGATAATAATACACGAATCAATTTTGTGATGGTAACGCTGAACAAACGATTAGTGCTATGCTTCGATTGAATATTTCTAATATGTATTGCTTTAGTTATTGCACTTGTTATAATTGTTCATATAAATTTCAACTCTAGAAACTGTTCTTATATTTATGTATTACGATCGTAGTATAATGGGTCTTTGTCAATGAACCATCAGGCTAGATCTTAAAAATACAATGTGTATTGTTTTTGTCTAGGTTGTACTGTTTATTCTAGACAATCAATGGAATTTCGAACTTGCATGGTATCCTTCTAACGAATACTTCAAAATTATTTACTTAATCAAGAACCATCTATTCAACTACCAGCCATATACTGACCACCAACAACCTGACCATCACAAGATCGTATCATTTTTGAAAATATTTCGAATGTCTCATTCGAAAGAATCAAAGGGTAAGTGTGTCTCTGAATAGAAAATAGAGATATACTCACACCCATACTCTATTATAGAACAATGACATCGTTGCCGTTGCATATTATTGCAGCAACCACCTGGTGTAGTAAACAGCATTCTTTTGCCGAAATATATATGTATATGAAGTTTATCAGAGTTATTCCGAGCAATTGATTATTGTTCGACGAAAATTCGTCTTTCCACTTCCTAGAGAGTACATTTTCTTTCTCTGTCTTATTCAAACACGAATTTCATTAGGAAGAAAAATACATATTGAGTCACTTCTGTTGTGCAACTTTTTGGAAGTGCATACTTTGGCTTTTTCCATTGTTTATCGAAAGTAGCACATTTTTTGAAAACAAAAATGAATACTTATGACACATCGTTGTTTTTGCTGGTTTCTTTGTGTTATGCAAATACATTTACGTACCGATTCTTTTCCATCATGAATGTCTTATTTGAGTGGGTTTTTTTTGCATCATGAATTACGCATTATATTTAATGTAGGTCTCTATCCTAACATGTTTCACTTAGTAATACTTTATTTGCTTTTATAAAAATGCAAACCTATTTATGAAACAGCACAGAGAATTCTACTCTACTAATAAATCGAAAACATATTCAAACTGAAAAGCTGTTAGTACTATCCCTACGAAATGAAAATGTGAAAGAGGATGCAGCTACTGCTGCTAATCACAGGCAGGTAGTTTTGTTTTCTCTAGTTTAGGGCACTTTTCTTGACTAGCCTATCTTCAATCCTTCAGAATATTCTAATGAGGCGTTATTGATATAAAGTTTTGATCCTATATCAACAACGTCTAGTCCAGTCTGTGGGGGTGCAAAATTTCTACCCTATATATTTCAACAATTCTTTTAGATCGTCTCTTACAAAAATGGCTTATCCATTGGCATCTTTCTTTTGTCCAATCACTCATGAACTCATGACAGATCCAGTCATTGATTCCGATGGTAACAGTGACGAAAAACATGCAATTGAAGATTGGATTCGTAAAAATGGTACATCACCAATAACTCGTAGCCCTCTTTCTATTGATGTCTTTCATCCAAACAGAGCTCTTAAAATAGCTATTGATGAATATGGACACTCCATTCAACCAGAAATTCACTCAACTTCTTCTCTCACGAAAACACGCTTGTCTGAAATCAAAATAACTGGAAATCATGCTAATGGTTTTGTTCACATCTCAATTCAGCCTCCACAAAATGAAAATCGTTCTTTATGTGATATTTGTTGTGTAGTTGACACTTCAGGTTCAATGTCAGATATGGCAGAAATTCAAAATGATAAAAATGAACAATATGGTTTATCACAGTTAGATTTGGTTAAACATGCCATAAAGACAATCGTACATTCTCTTCAAGAACAAGATCGACTATCGATTGTATCATTTTCTAATAATGCTAGAATCTTGTTTAAATTAACAAATATGAATGACGAAGGAAAAACAAATGCCTTGGCTGCCATCGAAAACTTATCGGTTAGTAGACCATTAAAAATATATAGAAATTAGTTTGTATGGTATATTATATAGAACGATACTAATTAGTATAATGTCTCAAGTAGATAATCAGAGATTTTTCAATTTAAAATAGATATTAAACTGAATAGAAAATAGAAATCGTGATTATACAACTTGACAGTTTTTTCATAGATGTTTAAATGAAATATTATTGAACCATATCATATTCATCATAGAGGAGTTCATAATACTTTGAAAATTCATGAAATTCTTTGAAACTATTAGTCAATTTAGTTTTATCTAATTTCGTCTGAGTTACAACTTTCACGGTATACGGTCGATTGATTATATTTATATTGACGATAATCTATGATGAAGTATTCTTTCATTTGTTTAAAACTTTTATACAGAGTGATGGTTCAACAAATTTATGGGATGGTCTTCGAACTGGTCTTGAAATTTTATCGAAAGAACAACGTTCTACTGGAAGCATTTCAGTTTTGTTTCTTTTGACCGATGGTTGTCCTAACGTAGAACCGCCAGGTGGTCACTTGAAATCACTTGAAAAACTTAAGCAAGAAACTAATTTTACATGTGTTGTTAATACTTTTGGTTTTGGATATAAATTGAACAGCAAACTTCTTGAAGATATTTCTATATTAGGAAATTCTGGCTCATATGCATTTATTCCCGATGGATCATTTGTAGGAACAATCTTTATTAATGCCATTTCGACGCTGTTAAGTACAGTCGCAACCAATGTGCAGGTAATAGTCGTCTTCGAAACTAAATGTAGTTATCTCAGAAAAGACAAGTACTCATATGAGATACTAAAGATGGACTTAAACTTGAATCATAACAAAGATTGATACTAAGTTTATCATTGACAATATATATAAGCGCACAAAAAAGTCTTTCTACACTAGACGATCTTATGAAATAAGTAAACTAATTTTGAATGACAAAGACTAATATTATGGTTGAATCGGTTACTCTATATTTTCGAGCTCATATATCCTCCTACAAGAAATGTCAAGTATTATAGTATGTTTTCATTATAGTTGTTGCTTCATGAAGAGCAAATTTTACCTACTGCTTATACACGTTGGTATTCGACGAAAAGCACTAATGAAGGTACCTATTTTGATTTGGGCTCGATTACATATGGTCAAAGCAAAGATTTACTGATTCCACTTGCTCCGAAATCTATTAGTAAATGTAAATTCACGCTGACTTATGATAACCTAGACAACATGAAGAAATCTGTGACCTTCAATTTGAAAAATAATCTTCAACAAGCTGATCTTCATCTCATAACTCGACATAAATTTCGACTAGAATTTGTCCATTGTGTACGAACAGCATTAGAACAAATGTGTGAAGTAAAAACAAAATCAAGAAATACACAAGAGCAACATAAAGCAGCAATGAATCAGATCAACACATTAGAGAAGAATATGAGAAAATATGCAGATATAAATGATGAATTTATAAAAGATTTATTGACAGACTTAACAGGACAAGTACGCCAAGCTATTGAAAAAGAAGATTGGTTTCATAAATGGGGCATACACTTTTTACCTAGTTTAACACGTAAGTTTGATTATATAAATATGTGATAATTAACAAAAGATTTCTGATGAGAGATATTCATAATATCTAGATATTAGGTTGATCGTTAATACTGATCAATTTGCTAAAAGATGTGAAAAAAAGTGCATGATTTTCTATTTGATAGGTTACAATTATGTATTAAAAGATTCATTCGAGTTTCGTGTTAAAGCTTCATATAATATGTCTGATTTAACAATGAAACATGTTTGTTTTTTTCTTTAAATTTTTATTTTCTAAAGGGGAGATTGAGTTCGTTGGGAATTCAAGAAAAAAAGATATTTCTGATTGACTTTATTTTTCAGGTGCTCATCTTCTTCAATTTTGTAATAATTTCAAAGATCCCGGTGTTCAACATTACGGAAAGGGTAAACTTTTCTCAAAATTGCGCGATGAAATGGATGACCTATTTTGCAGTTTACCTGCTCCAAAACGCTCACAAACTAATGCCCGCACCAGAATAAAAAATGGGTGAGTGTAAGCTCAATAACTCGACAACCGCAATACCTAGCTACCTGCGGTTTTCACCAATCGAAAGAGGAGGAGCGGGCACGTCTTTTTCTTCGATAATGTATAAGACGAAATTCTTT